CTCAAGGCGAGCGCTCTACCACTTGAGCTACAGCGCCACTCCCGGTTTTCTGGTGGTTTATTGGAGATAGGAGTCTCACGGTCTCTCCTGCCTGGGCTGGCTTTGAACCGCAATCCTCAGATCTCAGCCTCCTGAGTAGCTAGGATTACAGGCGTGAGCCACCAGCGCCCGGCTTGTTTTTTACACAATTTTCTAAGATGAGAAAAGTATTGCCAAATGTTCAAAATCTCCTCAGAAAGCAACCACAACATAATTCTAAGTAGCCTGCATGCCACCCAGTCCTATATGACCAAATCCCAGAGACACCAGTCTTCCTTGGTCATTAGTTGAATAAGATTTTGACTAAAAGCTAAGAGGCTTACAAAAGAAACAAGTAATCTTTTAAAATACCCTACTACAGGCACATGGAAAATAGCCCAGTTCCTTTTCCACTCATTGAAGGGGAACCATTCAAGAATTTTAACTACTCAAACTGACCACTAACAAATACATATAAATTTGAATTGGTTTAAATAAACCCTTGCAACTGTCTATATCTGGATTCCCTTTGGTGTGGAATAGCTCATATTCTGGGGCTTCTTTTCTTTTATTTCTAGACAAGTCTCTGTTTCTACTCAACACTTGCTATAACTATTTTCCCTCAAAGAAACCTGCTTAATCCTTAGATCTCTAAGCTCCTGTTCAGCAAAGGGTTAACTCAGCACATTCAGGGTAGTCAGATCCGTGAAAGATAATTTTTGAGCCCTTGGAATATCCTGGTGGATAGAACTATCTTTTAGGTACCTGAGATTATCTCGAGTGGCATCAGAAAGTTAATGGTAACTATGTGCTTAATGGTGAATGCCTATTTTTGTTCAGTTGGAACTTTGGGTCACTCTGTACCAGTGTGACCACTAGAATGGGACAGGTAAGTAGATAGGCTAGAGAACAAGGAATGAAGATGAGTCACATGATACTCAAGGCCTACCTGACATACCCCAGTAAAAATCCTGGTGACCAAAGCTCAGGTAAGTTTCCAGGTTGGCAATGTTTTGGCAATGACCTGTGTGTGTCGTATATCATTGCCAAGAGGACTGAGTGCACCTTCTTGTAACTCCAGGGTGCTCCCAGCCACCACCTAATGAGCCTTTTCCTTTTGTTGATTTTAATCCAGATATTTTTACTCTAATGAACCACAACATGAATATAAGGCTTTTCTGGGTTCTTCGAGTC